GTCGATTCTTTTGAGAGAAACGCGATTTCCACCGATGCGCGCGATTTCGCCGCTTGCGAGACTGCGAGGCCCGGCCCGGGCCTCCGAGGACTGGTCGGCCTCACCAAGAGCGCACCAAAGAACACGCACCCGAATGACCCGTTAATGCGGGGGAACCGGAAAAAGGCACCCTGCGAGCCACACCCTCAGAATCTCTCTGTATATATTTTGTGCTTCGGTTCTCCGTGCTGTTTCCTTTAAATAAAAATCCAAACAAATACTCTTTCACGTTGGAGAAGAACACTTGGGATAAGCACACATAACAGCCCGCGAGACACTCGTAACTACGTTAAGATACAACCCCCGCGTTCTTTCTTGCACCCACTCCATAACTTGGTGTTATGTATTTTTGGTGTGTGCGTTTTTATACAAAAACAGGGTTAAACAGCGGAGTTAAACAAAACGTTCGAAAGAGGATGTGCGATGTTACAGTTCGAGTGAGTGCTATCGGGCGGACGCGTGGCACCCGTCCGACACTCCTGGGCCGACGGGCGTTGGGATGCTCCGCTCGAGGAAGGGGGCAGGAGGGCGAAAGGAGGTATAGGAGGCCCTCCTAGTCTCATTTTTTTGTTTTGTTTTGCGTTTCCATTGCGTTTCTTCACTCTTTTGTCATCCCTCTTGGTCGGCTCTCTGCGCAAACCTTTATCTATATCTCTGCTTTCGACGCTGTTGGAAGGTATGCGTTCACGTTATGACTGTTGATTTGAGAACCGTTATGCACAACTAGATTGTTTCACGCGAGTGGTCGGCCGCGGAATCGTTGGCAGGTATGTCCGACTTGCTTCGTTCTTGCTTCTGCCTCATCAGTTTCTGCTGCGTGTCTTCATTAACTCTCAATTTAGAAATCGCAATTGCTTTTCACTACTGGTTTCTTGCGATCGTTACCGCGTGCGGTTTTCTTACGTGCCCAACATCCATCCGTTTCCGCATCTTTCCGCGGGCCCGTGTTCTTCTGTTGTTTTCCTACGTTTCCGTTTTCGCGTGTGGCGATTTCTATCGTGTTTCCGCATGGCCCCGGCTGCGTGCTACTTTTCCGAGGAGTGTGTTTACTCTGATGATGTTTCCCGCATTTTCGCATCGAGTACCCATTTTGCGCATGCAAGATGCTTTGCAAACGAAGGAATCTCGTGGATCCCATGGAAGCTCTAAAGGGTCACGACGTTGTTATCGTAGCCGGTGGAGCAACTGTTTGTCTCGCGGACAAGAACAAGGACATCTTGATCAAAGAGGACTTCGACTTTTCCGAGCCGTGCCTCGATTTCGCTTGCCTGTACGTGCAACCTGATGTATTTTTTCCGCGCGTTTGTTTCGCGTCCCCGTGGATGGTACGCTCTTGCTGTGCATTTCCGCGGAGTCCTGTCGTGGTCCTGCTCTTCGCGCCTCACAAAATCTGTTTCCACTACGTTTTTCCGCAGGACCTCACCCAGGTTAACGATCCGAACGCCAAGTCCAGCATGATCATCGTCTACGGGTTTCAACGCGTGCTGCAAGATTTTGATTTTGCGTCGAGGAACCGTTTGGATGAAGTCCCTGAAGTCTCTGAGGGACAAGATCGTCAAGCGCGCGTGTGATCTGGCCGTCGAAATCGTTTTAGCAGAGCCCGCGGTGCACAGAATGGCTGGCGCTCGCTCAACGACGCTACACGCGGCCGTTGTGGACAGCGCTAAACCTGATGTATTTTTTGCGCGCGTTTGTTTCGCGTCCCCGTGGATGGTACGCTCTTGCTGTGCATTTCCGCGGAGTCCTGTCGTGGTCTTGCTCTTCGCGCCTCACAAAATCTGTTTCCACTACGTTTTTCCGCAGGACCTCACCCAGGTTAACGATCCGAACGCCAAGTCCAGCATGATCAACGTCTACGGGTTTCAACGCGTGCTGCAAGATTTTGATTTTGCGTTGAGGAACCGTTTGGATGAAGTCCCTGAAGTCTCTGAGGGACAAGATCGTCAAGCACGCGTGTAATCTGGCCGTCGAAATCGTTTTAGCAGAGCCCGCGGTGCACAGAATGGCTGGCGCTCGCTCAACGACGCTACACGCGGCCGTTGTGGACAGCGCTGCCGGTACAGTTGCGGAGGCTGTCAAGGAAAACCCACCCGCGAATAAGACACCCGATGGTGACAACGCGGAAAGAGTCTCGGAGGCTGCGGGTGATTCATCCGCGGGAATCAACAGGAAGGTCGATGACGCGGAAAACAAAAAGGAGATTGCTGCGCCAACCGCGGGAAAGAACATCGCAGCTGACGGCGTGTACAAGGCCAGTCCACCCCGCGCAACCGAAAATCGGATGGAGGTTGCCAGCCGTGCTAGTGGCAGCGGTGGAAAATGGCCGAACAACTGCTCCGTCGAACAGCTCTCCAAGCTGCCGGCGCTTACGCTTGTGCACGAGGTGATGCGTCTCGAGGCCGACGTCCGTCGGCTGAAGGAGTTGGCCAAGACGTAGGAAAGGCAGTTGGCACAGCAGCGGGAGACGTTGTCGGAGATGATGGGCAGCGCGGACGAGACCCAAGCCAGTTTTGAACGGGCATTGAGGACCATGAACCGCCTTGTGACACGCGTCAAAGAATCGGATAAGAGCGAATGCAAGGATGTTGCTAACGCAGTCCAGGAGATACACGTGGAGAGGGCGAACGCGACCTCATTCTTGTGCCTACCTGGCCTTACTTGCTCACCTCTTGACCTTGCTTGTACTGTGATCAAAATATACCTGCACTTGCATGCTTACACTTGTTAGGTTGAGATCACTGTATTGTTTGTTTGCCTGTATATAACTCTGCATGTGAATTGGCCTTGTGGCCATTTGCTTGTGCTCAGAATGCGTGGTGATGTCGTGATCCACCCTGAGCTTGACATTGCCTTGTTCTCTTGCTTGTCCCCCATTGTGCTTATGGGGGTGTGTTAGAACTATACTCTAGGTTGTAGTGGGGCACTCCTTATGGGGTATAGCCCTGTTAGGTTTTGCCTATACAACCTTGTACTATTCTCATTCTAGTCATTCTCGTTTGTTACTTAGTGACAATCACAATCCTACAGTCGTCGTCTTATGTGGCAGAACACTCATATGATTTATGCATTATAAAAACGACCACCGTGTGGAAAACGTAAACATTGAAGCTAAGAGAGAGGCGGTGCTGAGCCCCATTTGAGTTGACCAATAAACGCCACCGTGCAGTACTTGTTACCACTACAAGTTCGCCTGGTAGTTATGGTACTTTTAAGCATTTGCTCTTCAATGTGTACATATCTACTATGTACTACTAGGTTATTTTTTGGTGAACGTGGTCTAGCTGAATAGTTGCAAATACCAAACGTCATGCGATGAAGAGGTGCTCGATGTCAAAGTTATATCATGCTTGCTGTAGCCATCGTACTTAATGTCATAAGCTTTATAAATTTGTGGCCCTATTGCCTTATAAATACGAGTTCACACACAGCCTTTTAAGCAAAAGATAAGGTGGTAAATCTGTACATTTCAGGTGGTTGTATAGTTCACATTACCATATCTATCCCGAGGCATAGTTAATACGGCAAGACATGATACAACCGTGGCGTAAGATTCTGCATGTAGTCCCCACTTTCTATTCGAAAAAAAAAAACACTAAACGCAAAACGAGTACCATTTTCGGAACATGTGCCTTCGTGCGCGAATCGTACTCCCCCTAGTACGAAACATGTTGCGGGCTACACTTCCTCAACTATTCATGTTCCTCCAAGCAGGTGCACAACTATCGAGCCTCTCCCACAGTACAATACATGATTCATCATGTACACTTTCACGGTCACCTACTTAGCTGTTCGAATCATGACAGCTCGAGCTGCGATCATGACGCGAGCTGCAGCGGGGCACGCTATGACCACATTAGGGTACATGATTTGTCATGAACCAGTTTCGCAGTGAACAACTTAGCCCCGCGCTTGATTGCTGTACGAGACATGACAGTTTGAGCAGCGATCATGACTCGATCTGCAGCGGCACAGAAGCTACAAGTAAACACTACACCTGCATCGGGTATCCACCAGGACTAATGTGTATGTGATTTTTTGTTAAACCGCTTACAAAACCCGGTTGTTTCCAGTGCACCTCACATTAACTCTGCGAGTTACTGTTGTGCCTATGATTCAAAATATCCATCCTGTCTCCATAGATCATCCACTAGTTGCAGCACAGCAAAGCCTGCTTCGGTGAGTGTTCTGAGCACATTCAACATAAAAAACCAGGACATAACACTCGCAAGGGAAAGCCATGTGTACTCGCAATTCATTCGGGGGCAGCTTGGTCCTCCCCGCGCTGCTCACCCGCAGCAGGTTCCTCCTCCTCACCCTCCTCCTCCTCCTCCTCCTCCTCCTCCTCCTCCTCCTCCTCCTCCTCCTCCTCCTCCTCCTCCTCCTCCTCCTCCCCCACCGCAGCCTGTGCCTGACCGTACCTACCATACTTGAACTAGCACCTTTTGCGGTTGTGCCTGTACTGTCGGCATTGCCCACACCGATAGGCGTGCAGCACTGCCTCAAACCGGGTGTGATTCTCTAGCCTCCCAACCCTCGTCTCGATCAGGGCTGGTGCATCACACACGCCCTCTGCTGCCTTTGGAGCCTCCATTACCATCTGGGCAACACAAGCTCCCAACACATCCCGGTTATATGTCTGGCGAAGATTGCGCGTGGTGTAGTACTCAGGCACCAAGATCTCCACACTCCGCTTCTTTAGAATACACATGGCCACGGCGTGGGCACATGGGAACTGGTACTCCTCCCAGTTCCCGCCCTCGCAAGTCCGGGCGTCGAGGTTCACGTTGAAGCTTCGCCACTGGGACTCGTTCTCCCCCAACCCTGGTCTGGATGGTTCCCACCGTGTTGTTCCCACCGATGAACCAATACCTCTGGCACCTCAGCTTCTTTTGATCAAATCGTTTCGATGCGGCCAACATGAGATACTCATCCCTCCAACGCCCTTCTTCTGCCTCTCGTACCACTTGTCGCGAGAGCAATCCCTGAGCGATGCAAGGAGCCATGTGGGTGGCAGCATGCGGATGCCGTGGACAGCGCTGTTGATGGACTCAATGGCGTTGCTTGTGTAGATACCAAACCGCAGCGTCACCGCAAAAAGACGGGCCCAGTGCAGCAGCATGATCCCTTCAATGCGATAGGATGATCCGTGCCTGTTACGATAGAACCCGGTGCGCACATGTATGCCGGGTTCTCCATCTCCATCGTCCGCCCCATCTGCATCCTCCCCAGCATCCTCTGGTTCCGGATCCTCCTCACATGCAGGCTCGTCCGGCCCTTGCGCACGACTGTTGCCTCGCTGCCCGCAGTCTGGCCATGGCAGAGCGAGAGCCGATGCAGGGTGGAAATGCTCAGCATACCCACCCATCTCTTCACCGCGAGTGCTCGTGGTCCTCCCCGTATCAATGTCCTCTGCCCGGTACCACTCCCGTGTTAAGAATCTAGCGAGGCTTAGGAGCCATTGCTAGTTAGATCGAGTGAGTTGAGTTCGAGAAAGTTGAAAGGAGAAAAGAGTCGAGAGAATGAGAGTTTCAGTATAGAAAGTTGTACAAGATATAGTGAAGGAAAAGGGTGCACCACCTAACATGAAAGCAATATAACTACACTAGGTCTACACTACAAGCAGTCATAGTAATGTAAACAATTACATTCTGACACACCCCCTAACTGCCTGCAGTGAAGAACCGTGTGCAGTACACCTCCTGCAGAGGTACACCAAGTGCAAAGAAAGCAGCAACAACAGACAAGGTAATAGAGCTAGTTGGTCACCCACTCCATCCCCTCACCCTCCCCCTCCCCCTCCCCCTCCCACTACTGCAGGAGCAGTAGAGGGGGGGGAAGAGAGGAGAGGTGGAGAGACGGCTGCTGGTTGGTCTCACACCCGCCACCCCAGTGCCACTCCCCCAGCTCCCCCACACCCTCACACCCTCCCCCCCAGCGGCAGCTGTAGCAGTGGGAATGAAAGGAGGAGGAGGGGAAGGGAAACACACCACCCACACCCGCCACCCGCCACCCCCAGACCCTCCCCCCTACAGCTGCAGGGAGACGAAGGAGAAGGGGGAAGGGGGGGGGGGGGGGGGGGGGGGGGAAAGGGGGGGGGGGGGGGCCGACGCACGGCCTCTCCGGGCGCCAAAGCAGGCGGCAGAGGGGGCGACGCCTGCCCCCCCCTTCCAGGTCGCCCCTCCCGTCACCTGTCAAGGCGACCTGAGGGGGCCGCGTGCGGCCCCCTCAGGAGCCGCGACGGGGGAAAAGGGGGGGGGGGGGGCGGTGCACGTGCCCCAGGTGTGCCGCGGCTGGCAACGGGGCATGGCCGGGGCGGGGTCGGGGCCGCAAGTGGGCGGGGCCGCAGGTGGCGTCGGGGCCGAAGTGGGCGACGGGGCGAACGGTGGTGTAGCTGCCAACAGGAGCGTAAGTGTCGTCGTAGTCAATGCTGAATCGCTGGCTAAAGCCCTTAGCCACGAGCCTGGCCTTGTACTTCTCCACGGTGCCATCAGGCCGCAACTTCTTCTTCAGCAGCCACTTGACGCCGACGGTTTTGCGACCTTCAGGTAGGTCAGCCAACGTCCAAGTGCCGTGCTCATCAAGGCTCTCCATCTCCTCCTTCATAGCAGCCCACCATTCCTTGCCTTCAGGTCTGGTCAACGCAGCTGCCAGGTCGAGGATGACACCTCCCCAAGCACCTTCCTCCTCCTCATCCTCGTCCGGGTACTCCACTTCGTCATCGCTGTCCGTGTCGCACTCATCCTCAGCAAGGTACGCCACGTCGTACAGGTTGTCCTCATCATCCGCATCCAGGGCCGTCATGGCTGATGGCTGAAACCGTACAGGTGGCACCCCCTTGTTAGGCCTGCTGGAGCGACGTGGCGGTGGTGGAATGGGGGAACTGGAGGTGAAGGCTCATGCTCATGGGCCATTAGTGACTGCTCATCCACCACTACTTCTTCTTCTGCGTCCTCGTGTTCTTCCATGCTGGTGTCAACCTCCAGAGGACCATCCTCTGGTCCTACGGGTGCCAAATCAGCAACGGAGAGTGGACCAAGAGGAGGAGGTGCAGTAGGTGCCTTGCTGCCCAAAGGGCCCACCGAGCGATCAAGGGGTTTCTCGCCCCCTTGCACGGACGGTACTGGGACCACGATGACGGTACGTGGTGGCACCGGATTCGGCTCGGGATCGTGGGGCTCAAGGAAGAGAGATGGGACTGAAGCAAAGGGTGGTGTGGGCTGGTCGTTCCTGTCACCCACGCGTGCACACCACTTCTGCCACCGTTCAAGTTACATATCCTCATAAAAACGTGCATCCTTGGTGATGACCATGCGCTTTAACTCAACATCCACCACACGCCATCCCTTACTTTCCATTCTCATGCCCAAATGCATGCCCCAACGAGTCTTGCTTGCAAGCTTCCCGAACTATGCACCCGAACACATGGACCATGGACACATCGGGCTTGACTTTGAACACCACCAAATGAGGGGTCACACCATGGGGCAGGGTGGATTGGTGCACACGGTTTACCACCCACAAGAATTGCTGGAAAGCGAAGTGCCACCAGTGTCCTTTCACCCCCATGTGCCCCAACATCACACAAATGCCCTCGGTTACCGTGCGGTTGTGGCGTTCAGCCACACCAATCTGCTGGGGGGTCGAGAGGCAAAAAAGTTGACGTAAAATTCCTCGTTGCTTCAGCAGCAACAGAAACTCATTCGAAATAAACTCCCCTCCCCAGTCCGACCGCAATACCTTCAGCGTCATCCCGGTTTGGCGTTCAGCTTTGGGAAGCCATTCCTTAAAGGCACCAAGCGCGTCGCTCTTCAGCTTCAACGTCTTCCCCCAGGTGTAATGTGAGGCGTGGTCGACAAAAAGAATGTAGTACGTGCTTCCATCCATGGCTAGGGTCTGAAATAGACCGCACACGTCAGAATGGACCAGCCCAAGTACCTCTCGCTCGTCGTGCAGCGGAAATGATTCACGAGTCAGTTTGGCTTCATGGCAGGAGGTGCACGGCATATCCTCACCTCTTTTCTCCAGGTCCATACCGAACACGCCACTGCTCGTGGCTGTCTGCTTCACCGCATCGAAGTGGACGTGTCCAAGGCAAGCATGCCACAGGTTGGGCGTTGCCTTGGAGCCCACCGCATACGTCTTGAGGCTGGCCGCTCCATCTTTAGCTTCCGGCTTGCTTGAAGCCACATCAGCAATCTCCTTCGCCGTGCCGTTGCTTGCCGTTGCAGCCCCTGTGTCGTTGCTCGCCGCTCCACCCGCCATATCGGTGCATGCCGCTGCAGCCGCCGTGCCGTTGCATGCCGCTGCAGCCGTTGCACCGTTCCTTGCTGGCCCCGGTTTCAGGTCAAGGCAGTGAAGGCGATGGCGGTATCATGCCGTTGCAGCCACTTGACCTGATGCGATGATGCAAGTGACACCTTCCTCGGTTTGCAGCTTTGCTCCCTTGTCCAAGAGCTTCCCAGGGGAGACCAAGTTGGCCTTCATTCCTGGCACAAAGAGGACATCATGTAGGGTCACACGCAAGCCGTTAGTGCCCTCTAGCAAAACCTCACCAACACCGGCAACTTCCTGCATAGAACCATAAAACCCTTTGACTGATTTCGTTGCAGATGGGTCACGGATCACCTTGAACCACTCCTTGCGGTCGGTCATGTGTTGGGAGCATCCTGAGTCAAAGAACCACAAGTCCTTGTCGTTGGCCAGCAACTTTGCAGCCGAACACGCAGCGGTGAGCGCCACGCCCTTCCCGTCTCCTTCAGCTACGTTCGCGGCTGCCGCGGGCGTTGTATCTTTCTTCTTGTTGGGGCACTTGGCATCCATGTGCCCCACCTCATTGCAGTTGTAGCAGCGCCCCTTGAAGGGGGCTCGCTTCTTCTCCCGCTTGCCATCCTTTTTCTTGTCTGTTTGCTCCCTTCCCCTTTTCTTTCCTTCCCGTTGACCCCCGTTGTAGCCACGATGGTGTTGACAGCGCCCGAGAAAGTAGATGCATTGCTGGTGATCTGCTTGTAACTCTGTTCGATAAAGAGAGTCTGCTCCTCCATCAACACCTCGCTGCACACGCGTTCCACCGTTATGTCAGGGCTGGAAATTTCGAGCTTGCGGCGAAGAAATCCGCACTCCGGTGGTAGGCCCTTCAGCACGTGGGCGGCAAACGTGGCCATGTGGACCTCCTCCCCAATGGTCAGCAGCTCCGCTCGGATGGTGCGGGCCCTATTGCAGTAGGATTCCGCCGTCTCATCATCTCCTTTCCTGAGTTGGGCTAACTGGGTCTGAAGTAGGGAAGCGTGGAGGGCATTACGAACTTGGTAAGTAGACAAGATATATGCTCATGCTAGCTGCCCGGCTTTCTCTTGCTGAGAGAAACCAGAGATGGACATTCGGATGGGTCGAGAAACACATCGGTTCATCACCATGAATGCAAGTATTTGGCCCTTTGCGTACTCCCTTCGTTGCAAGGGGCTGTTCGGCGCCGGGCTTGGTGCTGTCCCATTGCAAAACTGCCACAAATCAGCACACTGGAGCTGAGGTCGGATGGCGCTGACTGACGCGGTAAGGTCGTGCCTTCCCTCCAGTAGCAGCGTCACCGAGATGTGTTCAACTCCAAACTTGAATTGACTGTAGCTCGTTCCGATCAATCCCGCGTTAGTGGTCGGTGCAACAGCTCATCCACTAATGCCCATGGCAGTTGGAGCTGCGAGCACAGCTCCTCCATACCAGTTCCTCCTTGCTGGCCGCTCGCAGGTGCTTGCTCCGCCGCGCGCTCCTGAACCATGCGTAGTAGACGGCCGTCCACAATGAGGTCTACCTCCTCATCACACAAGAGAGGGTGGTGCTCACGAATGGAACCTCCAGCTCTTGATGGTCATTAAGACCTTAGTGCTCGATAACCACTCCATGCGGAGTCAAAACAAGCGTCAGCCACACCAATGTGGGAACGAAGTGATGGGAGGACGAAATCAAGCCGCTAGTTGGATAGACGCAGATAACGCAGCTCTGATACCATGTAGAATTCCACCACTATAGCAGCTTGATAGAGCTTGAATGCACGATTCTCATGCACCAAAGATTGCTGGAAACGGTCCACTGTAGCCAGAGATACACACAAACATAGCAGTGATAATGACTTGGTTGAATCCTGGTTTGTGCTCTCTGGTTTTATACTAGGATGCAATACAAAAGTAAAGCACACAAGAAAGTGTCGACCCGGGTCGCATGTTGAATTTCGTCGACGCAAAATTCGGAGCCTTGAATTTCGCCGAGCAAATTCCATTGACTGGAATTCCGTAGACGAGAATTTCCGCAACAAGAATTCCGTCGACCACCGACTGTAACTCCCGTGCGAATTCCGTTGACTTCGACACTTTGCTGCCGAGTTTCAAACCGAACGTGACCCGAGATCGATTTCGCCAAACTGTCCCCAATCTGTCCCCAAACTGTCCCCAATCTGTCCTGACAAGACCCTTTCGGGACACTTGAATCAAAAGGTCTCCAGTTCGAAACTCGTGTGCACCATAACCAGCCCCTTAGAAGAAACTGTCCTGAATCTGTCCTGAGACACTTTCAGGACAGATTTGAAGGTCACGAGTTCGAATCCCAGCGCAGACATTTTGTTGCTCATGGCAGCATTTCCTTCTAACACCAGGAGGCTAAACCATCATCACTCCCAGACGCTGGAGCACGCCGCACATCGTCCCCAGCGGGCCCTGGTGAGGACCCCCTTCCAACGGACCCCACCCCGCCCCTGAAATCCGCGCCTAGGCCATACCCGGATCCCACACCAAACCTAACATCACCGCGTCGCCCCCTTTGGTCTAGCCTGGGTCCAGCATTGTGAGGACTGGATCCAGACCCTACCACCTCGCCGCTCATAGTGTAAACACTATCTCTTGCTCCTGCGCCGAATAGCGGCTCCCCTCCATTCGCACTCCCAATGCTGGACCATCCTGCTCCGGCACCCCCCTGCCCTCTAGGAGCCCCACCAAGTGGGACTCCCCTGCCTCCACCTCCAATGCCGGACCAACCTCCTCCGGCACCCCCCTGCCCTCCAGGAGCCCCACCCAGTGGGACTCCCCTCCCTCCACTTCCAATGCCAGACCATCCTGCTCCGGCACCCCCCTGCCCTCCAGGAGCCCCACCCAGCGGGACTCCCCTCCCTCCACCTCCAATGTCGGACCATCCTGCTCCGGCACCCCCTTGCCCTCCAGGAGCCCCACCAAGCGGGACTCCCCTCCCTCCTCCTCCAATGCCGGACCATCAAGCTCCAGCACCCCCTTGCCCTCCAGGAACCCCAGCAAGCGGGAATCCCCTCCCTCCACCTCCAATGCCGGACCATCCTGCTCCGACACCCCCCTGCCCTCCAGGAGCCACACCAAGTGGGACTCCCCTCCCTCCACCTCCAATGCCGGACCATCCTACTCCGGCACCCCCCTGCCCTCCAGGAGCCCCACCCAGCGGGACTCCCCTCCCTCCATCTCCAATGCCGGACCATCCTGCTCCGGCACCCCCCTTCCCTCCAGGAGCCCCACCAAGCGGGACTCCCCTCCCTCCACCTCCAATGCCGGACCATCCTTCACCGACACCCCCCTGCTCCCCGGTGGCCCTACGGAGCGGCACTCCCCTTCCTCCATCACCAACCCCAGTAAATTCTGGTCCGCCACCCCCCTGCTCTCCACAATCGCCCCCAAGGGGCACTCCTCTACCTCCCCTGCCAAGACCCGTCCCTGCAACGCCACCGCCTCTCCCTCTGCGACCACGTCTAGATGAAGCAAAGCCTCGACCATCCCTCCACGGCCAATGCCAAAACCAACCCCTACGCCATCCCCTTCGTCAGGAATCCCTGATGGGACTCCAATACCCTTGTGCGCTCGGGCACGTCTTCCCGGTGCGTTCATCCCACCTCTGCCAGCTAGACCACCACCACGCCAGTCGTACGCGGACGTGTTGCCCTCCGGGAACCCACTCCTGACGGGTTGGGATGCGGCCCCGACAAGCGCAACCCATTTGGTTTCACAGCAACACTTCACTAGGTGCCAGAAGAACGCCGTTGCCGCTTTGCCGAACTGCTTAAGGTTTTGCTCCAGATGCCAGGCACGGAAATAATGTGGGATGTGGCTTGGCATCACCTCCCTTGCTGCCGGCACCAACCCCTTATCGCGGTCGCTGATGATGGATGCATTGTCCCTCTGCCCCCACTCCAGGAAACCCTCAAGGAACAGCTTGAGAAACCAGGTCCAGGCGTCCATGTTCTCCGGACCAAGGCCCATGCAAGTAACAAAATTTCCTGGTTTTTGTCAATGGTGACGGCGATGAGCAGCACAGCCTTTTGCGCACTAATGAGATGTGTGCCGTCGAGCGCAACGACAGGGCGGCAATAATTTAACGCATGCCGTGCTGCAGAGGGATGCACGTAGAATTGGTGAAAACACCCTCCTAATGTGTCCAACCGCATTTGAACTTCCGCATCGATGACAGTGAAACGATTAAGAAGCCATGGAACCTAGCAAAACGACTCCTTCCAATATCCACAACGCTCTTTTAAGATGTACTCTCGAAGCCGCCAAGCCTGCCAATAGTGGATCACTACGTTCCCATGACCCTCGAGCATTCTCTTGAGCTCCACAGGTGAGATGAATGGATTTGCGCGGACCAAATTGCCGAATCGCTGAGACAAGATGGGAATAGTGTTGGCTAACCCCTCGGCGTAACCCTGCCTCCAATCCAATGGACATTTATGCATCTCCGGAGGAACCAGGCAAGTAATGCGCCATAGGCCACCGTGGCCGATTTGACCGTATGCGCAGCTCCGTAGGCACGCCGGTAAATAGCCGTCCGATGTGGCCTCGCACCCAACCACTGCATAGTTATGCTTGACCAAAAGGACTTATACACCAAACCGGTGCTCTAGTGCGTATGCATAAACGGCCTCCTTGCATGTATCACAGCTAGAATACAGGCCCTCTAGCTCCAATGGCGCGTAATTGTTAGGCCTGTCGTCCCTAGGGTTGAACTCGGGAGCCGCATTAAGTTGTCGCAAGGCCTGCGCTAAGAGATCGGAGGCCATACGCAGGCGTTAGACACTACATGGTGAAGAGTCTTGTCAGATAGTAGATAGGACTATTAAATGGAGTACTAATGCCGACCCGGATATTAGTGTCGCTAAGCCTAAACGTATGACTGCGTTCAGTGTCTAGCAGGTACCCAAAAATGGGAACCAGGGCTAACAGACACACAGACAGGATGCTAATGCTCGGGCTCATGAACCACTGAAGTTCACGATCGCTTGGATCATGAGTCCATGTTGTCGGGCAAATACATGGGCAAAACCCAAAAGACACGATACAATCAACCTGCATATAAGCCTCGCGAGTTCCAAATCCAGGCCCTGAAATTATCGAAAGATTGTTGGGAAATATGATGTGGCATCCCACATGAACTTGAACGCTGTGGCATGAGGGTGGTTGGCTGTTTTTCGTTACTGGTTGTGGCACTTCCGAAGTTCACGCGAGTGGACACGGCTGCCCAAATTTTGGAGTGGAAGGGCGGGAAAAACGGGTTGGGGGGCCGGGGAGAAAGGCGGTCCATTCAATTCAGAAAAACGCCGACGTGGCGAGGGGGGAGCGATTTGAGTCGATTCTTTTGAGAGAAACGCGATTTCCACCGATGCGCGCGATTTCGCCGCTTGCGAGACTGCGAGGCCCGGCCCGGGCCTCCGAGGACTGGTCGGCCTCACCAAGAGCGCACCAAAGAACACGCACCCGAATGACCCGTTAATGCGGGGGAACCGGAAAAAGGCACCCTGCGAGCCACACCCTCAGAATCTCTCTGTATATATTTTGTGCTTCGGTTCTCCGTGCTGTTTCCTTTAAATAAAAATCCAAACAAATACTCTTTCACGTTGGAGAAGAACACTTGGGATAAGCACACATAACAGCCCGCGAGACACTCGTAACTACGTTAAGATACAACCCCCGCGTTCTTTCTTGCACCCACTCCATAACTTGGTGTTATGTATTTTTGGTGTGTGCGTTTTTATACAAAAACAGGGTTAAACAGCGGAGTTAAACAAAACGTTCGAAAGAGGATGTGCGATGTTACAGTTCGAGTGAGTGCTATCGGGCGGACGCGTGGCACCCGTCCGACACTCCTGGGCCGACGGGCGTTGGGATGCTCCGCTCGAGGAAGGGGGCAGGAGGGCGAAAGGAGGTATAGGAGGCCCTCCTAGTCTCATTTTTTTGTTTTGTTTTGCGTTTCCATTGCGTTTCTTCACTCTTTTGTCATCCCTCTTGGTCGGCTCTCTGCGCAAACCTTTATCTATATCTCTGCTTTCGACGCTGTTGGAAGGTATGCGTTCACGTTATGACTGTTGATTTGAGAACCGTTATGCACAACTAGATTGTTTCACGCGAGTGGTCGGCCGCGGAATCGTTGGCAGGTATGTCCGACTTGCTTCGTTCTTGCTTCTGCCTCATCAGTTTCTGCTGCGTGTCTTCATTAACTCTCAATTTAGAAATCGCAATTGCTTTTCACTACTGGTTTCTTGCGATCGTTACCGCGTGCGGTTTTCTTACGTGCCCAACATCCATCCGTTTCCGCATCTTTCCGCGGGCCCGTGTTCTTCTGTTGTTTTCCTACGTTTCCGTTTTCGCGTGTGGCGATTTCTATCGTGTTTCCGCATGGCCCCGGCTGCGTGCTACTTTTCCGAGGAGTGTGTTTACTCTGATGATGTTTCCCGCATTTTCGCATCGAGTACCCATTTTGCGCATGCAAGATGCTTTGCAAACGAAGGAATCTCGTGGATCCCATGGAAGCTCTAAAGGGTCACGACGTTGTTATCGTAGCCGGTGGAGCAACTGTTTGTCTCGCGGACAAGAACAAGGACATCTTGATCAAAGAGGACTTCGACTTTTCCGAGCCGTGCCTCGATTTCGCTTGCCTGTACGTGCAACCTGATGTATTTTTTCCGCGCGTTTGTTTCGCGTCCCCGTGGATGGTACGCTCTTGCTGTGCATTTCCGCGGAGTCCTGTCGTGGTCCTGCTCTTCGCGCCTCACAAAATCTGTTTCCACTACGTTTTTCCGCAGGACCTCACCCAGGTTAACGATCCGAGCGCCAAGTCCAGCATGATCATCGTCTACGGGTTTCAACGCGTGCTGCAAGATTTTGATTTTGCGTCGAGGAACCGTTTGGATGAAGTCCCTGAAGTCTCTGAGGGACAAGATCGTCAAGCGCGCGTGTGATCTGGCCGTCGAAATCGTTTTAGCAGAGCCCGCGGTGCACAGAATGGCTGGCGCTCGCTCAACGACGCTACACGCGGCCGTTGTGGACAGCGCTAAACCTGATGTATTTTTTGCGCGCGTTTGTTTCGCGTCCCCGTGGATGGTACGCTCTTGCTGTGCATTTCCGCGGAGTCCTGTCGTGGTCTTGCTCTTCGCGCCTCACAAAATCTGTTTCCACTACGTTTTTCCGCAGGACCTCACCCAGGTTAACGATCCGAACGCCAAGTCCAGCATGATCAACGTCTACGGGTTTCAACGCGTGCTGCAAGATTTTGATTTTGCGTTGAGGAACCGTTTGGATGAAGTCCCTGAAGTCTCTGAGGGACAAGATCGTCAAGCACGCGTGTAATCTGGCCGTCGAAATCGTTTTAGCAGAGCCCGCGGTGCACAGAATGGCTGGCGCTCGCTCAACGACGCTACACGCGGCCGTTGTGGACAGCGCTGCCGGTACAGTTGCGGAGGCTGTCAAGGAAAACCCACCCGCGAATAAGACACCCGATGGTGACAACGCGGAAAGAGTCTCGGAGGCTGCGGGTGATTCATCCGCGGGAATCAACAGGAAGGTCGATGACGCGGCAAACAAAAAGGAGATTGCTGCGCCAACCGCGGGAAAGAACATCGCAGCTGACGGCGTGTACAAGGCCAGTCCACCCCGCGCAACCGAAAATCGGATGGAGGTTGCCAGCCGTGCTAGTGGCAGCGGTGGAAAATGGCCGAACAACTGCTCCGTCGAACAGCTCTCCAAGCTGCCGGCGCTTACGCTTGTGCACGAGGTGATGCGTCTCGAGGCCGACGTCCGTCGGCTGAAGGAGTTGGCCAAGACGTAGGAAAGGCAGTTGGCACAGCAGCGGGAGACGTTGTCGGAGATGATGGGCAGCGCGGACGAGACCCAAGCCAGTTTTGAACGGGCATTGAGGACCATGAACCGCCTTGTGACCCGCGTCGAAGAATCGGATAAGAGCGAATGCAAGGATGTTGCTAACGCAGTCCAGGAGATACACGTGGAGAGGGTGAACGCGACCTCGCAAAGGGAGACGGCGGCGCTCATACGTGCACGCGTCGAGGCTGCAGTGGTGGAGTTGAAGTTCATGATATTTTCCGCGATCAACACTGCCGCGGAGCGGACCCGCGCGGAGGTTTGGCAGAAGCTCGTCGGCTTAGAAAACTCTGTTGCGAACGCGGCGGAGCGTGGTGCGAGCGCGGGGGCTATGATATTGAGGACCGTGATGGGATCCTTCGCGGGTTACTCTGGGCCTACTGCTGGCCCCGAGCAGCCTGCGGGTCGGATTCCCACACCCGGAGCTGGTCCAGCGGCTGACACGAACCTCCCGCTCATCCTATCAGGAGGTGGTGAGTCTGCGCGTCAGGAGAAGTGCACTGTACCGCAGGGTTCCGAAGGCAAGGCTAGGTACCGCGCGAAGAGATCGAAGGCTGCGGGAAAAGATTCCTCTACCGCGGGTGCTGCTGTGAAGGACGATGGAGTTGCGGCTGCGAGGCTGGCCTTTGCAGAGGGCAAGAACGAGGGCACAGTAAAAATTTCAGACGACGAGGATGCGGAAGCAATGGACTCGCAGAAAAAGTTTTTTGCGGCTTGGGCGGCGGCGAAAGCAGCTGGTCGTGGGATTGCAAAGGCCAAGGACCTGAAGGAGCAGCTGTGCATCGGGAAGGGGGCTGAGCACGGGGGACATAAGAATGTTGCGGCCACACAGACGCCGATGGTCGGAGTCCGCTTTACTCCAGGAAACAAAAACTCGTTCTTGATTGAGCTTCATCACGATGGGGCTCGCTTCTATCTCGGCTCGTTTGCGCGTGCTGTGTCTGCGCGCTACTTGTCCGCCGTGGCACAGACCATGTGGCACGACCAGGTTCAGAGAGTTGAGTTGGTGCTCACGGATCAAGAGGAAGCCAAGTAGGGGGATGATCTCGAGCTGGCGCGGAAGGTGAACGCGGGCCTAAATTCAACTCTTTTCTTGCAGAAACAAGCAGAGAACCACAAGAAGTACGACGCGCTAGCGCGTGCAGGGTTTATTTGAATTCTGTTTCAACCATGTGGTGCTAACTCCCTTGCTTTTTCTATGTGCCGCAGGATGGTCAACATTTTCTAAAAATGTTAGGAACTTGTGGAAGCGGATTCGGACCACATAGTCCAGTCCGCGCTATGTGTTGCAGCTGAGCTATAAGTCACGGACGATTATGGGAAAGTGAAAGGGAAAGCTCAGAAGACGCTTTTCGCGGCCGCGGTCGCGTTCGCGTTTGGTGCTGTGTGAAGTCTGACCAAGGAGTATACCTGGAGCAACACGGCAGGTGGTGCGAGAACGGCCTGGAAAGGAGTTACCGAGGAGGTTCGTGCTGCCGCGGTCAAAAGTGGCTCAGCCGCTGCAAAGGTGTGTGGCGCGACCGCGGATGACCTAGAGGGTTTGCAGATGTGCTGGACAAACATGTTCTCGGCCATCTGAAAACGCCAAGGTGATAAGTTGGAGGCCGCGGCGAGCATCGAGAAGAGGGCTTTGAAGTTGTATGGGGAAGAGCTCGACATGACCGACAAGGTTCTCGTCCATCAGCTGATACATGTCATGGTCATCGAAAACTACGATTCATCCATGTTTCTGCCCACAAAAGGTGTGGGCATTAATATGGAATGCATGAAAAAAATAAGGGGACGCGTGGGAAGGGCAAAAATGGGGACGTGGGCAAGAAGGATGAGAAGAGCGAGAAGTATGAGAAGAAGGGCGAGGAGGCGGAGCTCAGTGATGGGGAAGACAAGGATGACGACACATTAATGTTGGAAGGATCATAGGCTCACGATGAGTTGGCCTGAGAATACCGCGGGATATCAGTGGTCCATGCGAATTTTGGTGCTGTTTTGTTTTCCGTGGATTTGTTGCTGCTTATGCTAGTGTGTGATGTTTGTTCGTTTGAACACGTGTATAGTGTTTCCGAGAAAACTGAAACAAGACTGAATGCACAGTGAAAGAGTTGGGTACAAGTACTAACCCTAATTGGGTTGTACCCTATATGGGCTACCCCACTACAGCCTACACAAAAGCATAAGCTATAATGTTCTGACACACCCCCATAGGCAAAGTAAGGGAGTACAAGGGGTCACAAGACCAGTCAAGCAAAGCAAAGCAAAGCAAGCTCAGGGTGGATCACAAAGTCACCACACATTCCGAGCACAAGGTCAAGGCTACAAGACCAGTTCACTACAGGAGTACATATATATAAGGCTAGACAAGCAAGAGCAGGGTATATATATATATGTAACAATACAAGTAAGGTCAAGAGGTGAGCAAGTGAGGCAAGGCAGGCACAAGACCCAACTGAGTACAGAAGCGCTGATGATCACAAGGCGCAAGTGCCTTGGTGAAGATATCAGCAGTGTTGGCCTCAGAGGCCACGTACGCAAGACGCAGCTGACCACGCTGCTGCAGCTCACGAGCAAGGAAGTAGCAAAGAGCAATGTGCTTCGTTCTGTGCTCAAGTCTCTGCTCTCGACACAAGGCCAGCATGGCCTTGTTGTCTACGTACAGCACTGGAGGAGAACGAGGCGGCTCTCCGAGGTCAGTCAGCACGTAGGTGAGCTAGCGAAGCTCCTGAGCAGCCATGGCCCCGGCGTAGATCTCAGCCTCACAACTGGAGCCGAGAACAGAAGACGAGCGGGTAGCCCGCCACGAAACAGAGCCGGAACCAAGGCTGAAGGTGTAACCCTGTGACGACCGCTGCGTAGACTCGTCGTCAACCCAAGAAGCGTCTGCGTGCCCAGTGAGGACCACTGGACTCTGCCCTCCAAGCACAAGCCCCATGCCCGACGTACTGCACAAGTAGCGCAACACCCTCTTCGCTGAAGCCATGTGCTCCGGTCTGTGTCTCCCAGGAGCAACATAGCGTGCGAGAATGCTAAGAGGGTATGCAAGGTCAGGTCGAGTGCAGGTCATCAGGTACATGAGGCAGCCAACAAGCTCTGGGTACGGGCCACTCGACTCTACGGACTCATCCGAAGGCAGAGCTGAGAGCGAGTGGCGAGTAGGCAGAGGAGTGGCCTGAGGCAAGGAGTACGTGAAGTCGAAGCGCTGAAGGACCTGCTGCACCATGTGTGACTGAGTCAGGGTAATGGTGCGGCGTGCTCTGTCCCGGGTGATTTGCAAGCCAAGGTGGCTGCGCAGCTCACCCAGGTCTGTGCACATGTGTCTCTTCTGCAGCTCGGACTTCACGTAGGCGAGTCCAACAGTGTCAGCTGTGGCAAAGACCAAGTCGTCTACGTACACGAGGATGTAGAATGATGACAAAGAAGTGTCGGTGCGCAGAAACAGCGACGGGTCGGCTGTAGAGGGAGCAAACCCAAGAGCTGCAAGTGTATTCCTCAGTGTGTCGTGCCACTTACGCGGTGCCTGGTAGAGACCGTAGACTGGCCGCTGGAGGCTCCACTGGGTGCCAGGAGGAAAAGACCCAGCAAAGCCAGGTGGGCGACGCAGCCTGATCTCCTCGTGCAGGCTGCCCTGCAAGAAAGCCGTGCTGAAGTCAAGAGAGTGCAGCTCGTAGTCACGGTGAGCAGCTATGTGCAGTAGTACCCGAAGAGTGGTCATCTTCGGGGTGGGAGAGAAGGTCTGAAAGTAGTCAACTCCCTGCCGCCAACTGAAGCTACGAGCCACGTAACGTGCCTTGAAGACAGGCGGAGAACCCGGCGGCCGCTTCACCCTGAAAATCCACATGCCACTGACGATGTTCGCCCCAGGCGGGGGAACCTCGTCAACGTAGGTGCCTGTGGACTTCCAGAAAGCCATCTCTGCGTCCATAGCTGCCTGCCACTGAGAGGAGTAGGGACCCTCTATCGCCTCCGCATAAGAGCGCGGAGTCGGGATGTCAAGTGCATCCGGGTCTCCCTCAGGGTAAGCTGTTCGGACACGAGATGAGGTGAAGCAACAGCCGGGCACTGGAGCTCCTCCTGCCTGTCCTCAAGGACGTCTGTGCCAAGGGCACACTCACCCACGACGGACGGAGGACAGACAGACTCAGACTCAGCGACAAGACTAGCAGCGTAGTCTAGACGACAGCGAGCAGCAAAGTCGACGAGCTCATTAACTAAGGCAGCCGCAACAGTGGACTCAAAGGAAGGGTCAGTGACGACAGTAGCAAGGAGACGCGTGACAGTAGGACTGGCAGCACGAAGAGAGTCTGACTTCGGGAAGGCAAGAGCAGGAAGAGAGGACTCAGGAAGAGAAGGCAAAGGGGCACGCAGAGGAGCAGTGGACGGACGCAGAGACATCTGATGCGTGCCAGGGACAGGAGGAGGACGCTGAAGCGAACCACGACCACTAGTGCGAGCAGGGCGGATAGGCGACGCAGGGCGAGACGCAGGCTCACGACGCTCAGCAAGACCTCCAGTAGAACCAGTGTAGGGAGAAGGAGCAGGTAGTGGGGAGGCCGGCTGTAACTGTGACAGGACAGGCTGTGGACACTCTAAGGGAGGAGAAGGACAAGTAGAAGGCGGGAGACCAAGAACCTGCTGAAGGAGCGGAACGAAGTACAGCCGAGGCTGCACGGCGACTCCATACACAGTAGAGACGGCACCAGTACCCCCAGCGGCAGCACCAGCGCCGTGACTCCTGTCTTTCATCCTTTCCTACCCCCTGCCACCCCTCTTTCCTCCTGCTCGTCCGTGACTCCTGTCCATAACTCCCCTGCAAGAGTACTTGGCCGGCCAGCCCTCTGTGACGTTCTACCACATTACCGTGCACTTGAGCATGCACGCTGCTCTCATGCCATCCCCCCCTTGCCTCGGGCCTCTCTGTGGCTTCCCTCCCTCGTGTTCCACCCCAGGGGTCCTCCCGAAGTACTTCATAGGAGAGCGCTCGCCGGCCGTCTACCGCACCGGCGTGCACACGCACATGCTCGCTGCCTTTGGCGCCGAGGCAAACACCGTCACCGTGGTCAGCATTAGTGGCTCGTACGTCTGCCAATTTGAATGTCTATACGTGCCGTACACGTGCAAATTTGTATCGGTAGCTGGTCACTCTCGGAGCATGCGTTTGTATGTTTACACGTTCTACTATTAAGTCTTTTGTGGAACTTGAATTTGATTGCTGCTTAAGGTTTGTTCCTTCCAGTGTCTCCCAGCCCAGTAATTCATTCCTTGCGTGGATTGTTGTTTTGTGTGTGTGTACCGCTCCTTCCCACCAGGTACTACAAGCTTCAGTTCGACCCGCAAGCAGGCGGTGAAATGAATCTGCTGAAGGAGACTAACTTCCTCGCGATCGAGGAGGAGCATTGATGGAATGATTGTAAGGGAGGCTATGTGTACTAGTGGCAGCATGTTGGAAAAAAGTAATTTAAGCGCTTCTGTTGTGTGTCGAAACCCTAAGTGGTAAATGAAGCGAAGCACAACGAAGGATCGGCGAGTCAACCTTTGGAGGTTGAGAAGAAGAGAAACTGCTGGAGGTTACGCGAAAGTCAAAGGTCAGCGACCTTTGACCTGACAAATACAGCGTGATAGCAAGGACAAACAACTGACTCGTTATTGACCAGTTGCCCAAGTCATCACTGTATCGAACCGCAATAGCAACAGTAAAACGGTTATTAGCTGTATCTCTTCGTATTCCTTTTACTCTTATAAAACCTTGTATCTTCTTGTTTTAATCAATCTACTTTGCCCTCACATACTAGCGCAAGGTGGTTCAATACTTCTCATTAAAATGCTTTCGCAATTATAACATTTCCTACCCACAGTTTAGCCCTGCAACGATCCTAAGGGCTTTTCTCAGCCCAACATGGTATGAGAGCTATGAGGGCAAACTCAACTGCTTTCAAGACACCCACAACATCAGAAGGCATGGCAACGCAGAAGGAGAGAAGCTCCTCTAACGATTCTCCCGACACTACTCCTACTCCACCTCCTGCCTCTGGCCTACAGACAGAGGGGGGCATAGCAACAAGACCAGCAGCACAGTCTACTGAAACTCCCGCGAACCAAGCGACGGGCTTCGATCCAACCATGATGGAGAAGTTCTTCTCCTTCATGTCCTTCTACAAACAACACGAGCAAGCAGCACCTGCGCAGTCAAACATCAGCAACAACAACAACGACGTTACGCCCATGAGCCTCGATGGTTCATCCTATGCGCGCGGAAACCAGCAGCAACCCACCTTTGCTCCCTATGAGCCTCAGCATGGCTCCATCAGCTTCATGCCGCATCAACAGCCTTTACCTGAACAAGAAAAGACACTGGACGCACTTCCGGTTCAGTCGCAATTCGCGCACGTTTTGAAACTTCAGACATCAACACGTTTCGACGGAAAGGACTTCTATACCTGGTCATTCGAATTTACGCTAATGATGGAAGGCGCGCAGATTCTTGGATTCTTCGACGCGTCCCTGCCATACCCAACACACGGAACACAATACGATAAGCAGCAGTATACGTATCAGTCAATGATGGCTTACATGATTCTGCTGAGGAACATAACTCCAAACCAGCAGCAGAACATCCGGTCTTATCGGGGATACGGCAACTCCGCCGAGCTCGCGTACAACCATCTGAAGAATCTGTATCAAGCAACAGACAGCGTCAATCAGAGTCGACTAATGGCACAGCTGACAACAGTCGAAATGGAACCGGGCGAAAAGGGAATGGCGTATATCAGCCGTTGTCGCAAATTGTGCAAAAAACTCCTTCGATGTGGAGGATCGATATCTGAAGAAGCCTTCGTCATTGTCGCCATCTCCGGTTTTGGTCTTCACTGGCGCTCCACCCGCGCCATACTCCGAGCTCATGGAAAAATTTCCGAAGCAGCACTCTGCAC